TGCATTAAAGCTGGTATTATAGCCATTAAAGTGGTCTTGTTGCTCTTCTAGAGTTCTGAGGCCCATCCCACTGTTATGCTGTTTGCTCTCATCGCTTTAGAGAAGTTCTCTCAAACCAGTAAGTCTAACTGATTTCAGCTCAAAATGTTCAATCAGGAGCTTCTCAGAAAGGTACTTTAATGAGAGCCTGTCTTTATCTCAGGTGAGAACAAGTTAACAGTGTCGGAATCATGTATCAGTGACCGTCTGTCTGTTCTGGAGTGCTGGGCAGATCATCCAGACTACCTGAAGCGTCAAGTGGGCTTCTGTGCCCAGTGGAGTCTTGATAACCTCTGTGAGTATCTTTCACTGCATTGGTGCACATGTTATTAATGTTTAGCCCAACTGTTTGTATTTTGTGATGATTGTCAATTTAAGTCAAATAATAAGCTTGTACGTTGTGTCTCACTGATAATTTTATCTTTGGTCACCTTTTGGCCTGTAGTTATTAAAGAGGGGCGCAAGTTTACCTATGAGAAGGTCAACTTAAGCAACATCAACGCCATGCTGAACAGTAATGATGTCAGCGAATATCTCAAGATCTCTCCTACTGGACTGGAGGTGAGAGGCAAAGCATTATTGTAACTCTGGGTAAAATTCAGCAAAATGGATTTCGATAATGTAAGACGTGTTCAACAGAACTGAACTACACTCTGATTGGTAGATAGAAGACATTTATTTAAAGCTCTTTCAAAATGCGAATAAGGAAATAAATGAAAACCTGTGCGGAATGCTGTAGAGATATGAAAGATGACTGTTCCGATTCTGTGGAAATCTACAGTATTCTGTGTAGGCATACTGATAAGGAACAGGTCTGTTTTTTTCTGTTTTAATTTTTCTGGACTCCTTTTTAATGGTTAAATTAAATGTTATTAATCAAAAAGCATGTCTAATGAATTAAAATCATGAAATGTAAACAATTTAACATCAATTTATTAAAAGTTTAACAAAAATTACATGTTTAGGGCCCTATGAAATGTTTTATTTTTTCCAACCTTATGTTTTATTGTTACAAATTCTGTGTTTTAACATGTCTAATTATTTGAAAGCATAAAAACAAGTTTCATTTATTCTTACAATAGCCTTATGATTTTTTTCCCTCAGAAATTCTGTGTTGTGTATTTTAAATTTTTTAAGGCATAAAACAGTCATTTAATTTATCTTTGAATTAATGAAAATTAAAACAAATTAAATGTTTTTGGAAAATAAAGGGGATTTAATATTACAATTAAAACATTGAAGAAATATTTATGATTATTCCTTAAAAATAAGGTTTTAATAATTTTAGTAGTAGTAGTAGCCTGTTATGTACATTCTACTGAACAATAGTAATATATTTCTGCCGCAATGTCTTCAAGTTAAACCAAACGTTTATTTTGACGGGTTACCGTGAATACCTTCTGCACTCTATAAGCAAAACATATTTTCATACTTCTGTGAATGGTTCACATACAACTCATGAAGTTCTAAGCATGCCTTAACATTTTTACCTATTGTGGAAGAATAGCTGATTGTAACGATCACAAACAAACATATTGTGAGATTAATGTATCCCTCAATCTTACAAAGTGATGTCTAACGTGATCTGTCTTTTTCCTCATTAGGCACGGTGTGATGCATCATCATTTGAGAGCGTCCGTTGTACGTTCTGTGTGGATTCGGGGGTTTGGTACTATGAAGTCACGGTCATCACCTCTGGTGTCATGCAAATTGGCTGGGCAACCAAGGACAGCAAGTTTCTTAACCATGTGTGTTTCTGGTTATGTTTAGTTAATTATGCTTTCTTTTATTTTAGTTTTATGTTCTTATATTTACATGACGTGTACAGTGTTTATATGAATCAACTTGAATTTTAGTAGTGAGAACATGTTTGTTTGTACAGGAGGGTTATGGGATTGGAGATGATGAGTACTCGTGTGCGTATGATGGCTGCAGGCAGCTGATCTGGTACAACGCTCGCAGTAAACCTCACTCCCATCCCTGCTGGAAAGAAGGTTTGTGCAGAGCATCCTGTTTAGCACCCAAGTTCCTCAATGATTTGATGAGTTCCTATTTAGTGAATTTAATCATTTTAGGGAAAACTTTAGCAAAGTTTTCTAATAAGTGTTCACTGGGCTTTCTAGGTGATGCCATAGGCTTCCTGCTGGACCTCAGTAAGAAGCAGATGATTTTCTATCTAAACGGACACCAGCTGCCTCCTGAGAAGCAGGTGTTCTCTTCTGCCACGTAAGCAAAGCTCATGTCCTACACCGTAAAGCAAATGCAAAAAAGTGTTCATGGAGCTTTTTAAAACTTGCTGTACCTTGTCTTAGGTCTGGCTTCTTCGCTGCAGCCAGTTTTATGTCCTACCAACAGTGTGAGTTCAACTTTGGAGCCAAGCCCTTCCGCCATCCCCCCTCCATCAAATTCAACACATTTAATGAGTTTGCCTCGCTTGCATCAGACGAGAAAATCATTCTGCCCAGGTTTGCACTGTTTATTAGGTTTCTGTACACAGGGCAAAGTATCAGTGACTGTTATGTGGATGTGAGTAATGCATTAGTTATCCTAAAGTAAGTGACTCATACCATTCATGCACATGAAATTGTTCTTTCTCTGTCTCTTATTTCAGACACAGGCGCCTGGCTTTGCTCAAGCAGGTTAGCATCAGAGATAACTGCTGCACCCTCTGTTGTGACCAGATGGCAGACACTGAACTGCGACCCTGTTTGCACAGGTACAAAGTTCAACATAGAGAGTCTGTGTTTACAACACTGGGTTTATAGGTAAAGGGATGTGATGGAGTCTCAAGAAAGCAGGATTGATGTGCTTGATTGAATTGGAGTACATAACAACTGTTGCTTTGAGAGTTAAGACATTTAAAACATATTTGACATTTTGAATACTATATTTAACCCTTATGTGTTTAGCAAAAATGTGCAAAGTAAGATAATAAAACATAAGAATTTCATTGCAGTGTGTTATAAATTAATCTAATAGTCACATGATATTTATTGTTATTGCCTTTCACAGTGCCAATCATTGTTCATTAACTGTGACATAAGAAGCCTATAAAGTGCAACAGATGTGTTCCGGAAGTAAAAATCCTATTTTATTTTCTTTAGCGGAATTGATTTTGGTTAATGATGTACTGTATAAATCTTTAACAAAGACTTTTTAAATCCCTGTTGGAAAAATCTAAAAATAAAAGAAGTGAGCATGTGCAATGATATAATGGTACTGTGCATCCCTAATAATATGTCTCTCCATGGGGCATTTAAACCTATTGTTGATTACGGTTACATCATCTCTTTGTGCTGAACAATTTAGTCATCTTCTGCTTCTCTGTCATGTCTTCAGTGGGATTTGCATGGAGTGTGCCTTACAGCTGGAAACGTGCCCACTGTGTCGCCAAGACATCCAGACACGAGTCAGACTCATTTCCCATGTGTCCTGACATCAGCCCACCAACCCTAGATGTGGACTATCCCCTTCAAGCTTCCATCCTGTCCAGTCCCCACTGTCTGAGAGATCAACCTGACCAATCAAATCATGATGCTGTCTCAGGATTGGACGCGGCAGCGTGGACCTCTGACGGATGGAGTAGACCCTCCTTACAACTGGAGGGAAGAAGAGAGAGAAAGTAGAGAAAGAGAGAGAAAACTACACTGTTGCACTCCAAGGATGCCCCAATCCGAGGGCTGTTGAAGAAACCAGGAGGTTTAACGGCTTCTGGGAATTTGTAATCTGTATTTCCAGGAACAGATAAAATATGGAACAAATGCATCTATTACATACTGATCTGTCTTTGAGTCTCTCCCCTCAAGCTCTGGTCTGCTGTGTGTCTCTGTTCAGATGTGTTAAATGTATATGTGACTTCTCTCTTTTTTTATTTTTTTATTCCAAGTTAAAGTCTCAGCAGGAAACGGCAGCAGTGTCTTAACCACTTTGTTTCCTCTAAATGTTCATGTCTGCCTCAGAAAACCCATTATTCCGCTCCCTCAGACTTGATTGTACTTGAATCTGTTCTGGGTTGATTGCCCCACATTCTAAATATGATTGCAAAACGTCTTGATAAATCAAGACACTGTGATTTAAAAAAAAAAATTTTTTTAAACAGTATTTTTATTGATGTATGATGCAAAGTCCATTTAGAAATGAACAAAGCCAAATTATGTTAGGTAAAATGACAAAATTGAGTGAGAATTGATTCTATCAGAGTAAAAGGCGGTTTGGGGAAATGTCATGTGTTTTCTGCCCTGGTTAATGCACATATCAGTGTCCTAATGCTGCTGACGCTAAATGTGAACTTTCTGAAGTAGTTACAGAGACTAAAATCTCCAACGCTCCCAAAGATAAGAGACTATGATTAAATTAAGAATCTTTCATTTTCTGAATTGTGATGTTTGTAATAAATGTCTGTTTTATGTGTTGCACAGGCTTTATCTTTAACATTATTTACTCCTTTCAGCTGTGATTTGCATGAATTCCAAAATCCAAATGCGCCCAAGAGCTAAATGGAAACTAGTGATATGTTGAGAGTTGTGTTTTTGACTGAACAATGCCTCATAGCCCCTAGCATGCTCACATAACAACTTGAGACTACAGTCTTCACATAATTTAACCTAATTACCTTATTTTTACAGTCTTGAAGTTATGACGACTTTTTTATACATCCTTGTGAGACTTTAAAGCCACAACTGTGAGATAAAGTTACAGAATATAAAACTACAGTTGTGTCATATAGATCTTGTAATTGAAGCTTAATATCACAATTGTGACTTTCTGGTTCACAAAAAGAATGAAGGTTATTGTAAACACTCAAAATAAGCTTTTTTCCCCCATTCTGAGGCAGATACGAATGGGTAACAATAACAAAAACACAAGTCGCATAGTCATATATATATGTATATGTATGGGTGGGTAGAGAACATCATTGGTGTCGTCGTTTGTCTTCCTGTCCGTTAGGAGGCTCCACACGCTTCCTCAAATAATACACACTTGTTCTTCGAAAGGAAGTCGGATCGAGTGTGTTGGAAGTCTTTTGCAGGAGTCCTTTAGCAGTAACTCGAATTAATCACTATTATCCATAATTTTTAAAATCTATAAATAGTCTTAGTATGTACTGACCTAGTCAGAGATGAAATAACGTATCAGCAAATTCATCGATTTATCGCGATTCATAGAGCAGCAGGACTAAAACTGAATATCTACGCAGGTAAGATGGTCTTCGCATCAGATTTAGTGTTTTCATAACAATAATTTGACAAATGTCGCAAATATTAAACGCTGTTTTAACAATAGACCTTAGTTTAAAAAAAAAATAATAATAGTTGAGTAACGTTACATGCAGGATTTTCTAGGCAACCAAAGCTTAATTGCCTTGTGTCCTGCGATATTGTAATGTAAGATATTTTAAATAATGTTTGTTACGCCGTTCATTTAGAAAAAAATAAAATGTCGTCGTGGTCGAAGAAAGCTGGGGCCAGACGACCACCACCAAAACACAGTGGAGGAAGGTATGTGAGACATCTGTATAGTGGCTGCTGTGAGCTACTGCATAAATATGTTCAGAATTAATATGACCGATTTCAAGCTAGGCAACTCACTAGATTTAAACCCACAACCTACGTTTTATATTTCTGGTGTTATGTTGGTCATAATCATGTAATTTGCTCCATGCAGTGTCTCGAAACCTCCCAGACCATTTCGAAGAACACCATATCCAATGAGGGAGGACAGAAAAGATGATCATCCAGAATCTGACAGGCACGTTGAATATGACAGAAGAAAAAAAATGATATTTTTGTAGTTGACCGTGCAGTACTACTGATCTTTTCCTGGCTTTAAGTCTTTATTTTTCTCATATCTGTTTCTCTCTTCTTCTTTTAAAATCTAAACACCTTTTCCTACCAATCTTCCTTCAATTTTCAGCTTTGAGAGCTTAGAGGAAGGGATTGATTTCTCTGGCACTGCAGACTATGAGCATTCACCGCATCAGTCAACTGGTATGATTTTTCATGTAATAAACAACGTGGTTTCTCACTGCTGCTGTTGTGACCATTATGAAAACTTTTTCATGTAAATGTGTTTGTAACAGCTGTTTCACCTGAAGAATATGAGGCAACAGTTCAACGCAATGCCATATACGAGAGGTTCTTCCAGCAGCTGCATGGAGATGGTGCTAGACAGCCTGCAGACTGTGTCGTCTTGTCGGTGAACAACCAGAATGTGTGAGTATACTCTGCAGGTAGCAGTCAAATTCTGTCGCAGTAAATGTTTTTATTGTGTGAAACTTGCTTTCTGTTTTAAACTATTTTCCAGAGTTTGCACTTACTGAAAATATGGGACTTGTTTACCTACATTTTGTGCAATGCTGTTTTAAAAAAAAAAAATTTTTTCTCTGTTGTGTGAATGTGCTTCGTTATTGTTAAATGTTAGGCTGATGGGATTCATCAGGGTTAAGATCTGGAATCCGTATGTATCCAGAATCATCCTTGATGGTTAACAAAAACAAAATTCTGGTGGATATTTTATTATTATAAATCATCCTAAAACTTAAAATGTGCCTTCAAGTAAAAGAACAACAACAAACGTACAGTATTTTAAATGTTCAGAATTTGCAAAAATGTGTCCACTATTAAACAAAAGTCTCCGGAATTGCTCTTATTCTTTACATTTGGCTATCCGTCTCTTTATAACCTTTATAAATTAGTAATTTAAATTAACTGATATTGCCATTTTACACTGCTAATCCAAAAACAACAAAAACACTGAACATGATACATCCATCAATGACTGTTAAAATGAATCTCAAAATGTTGAATTTAATAAAAAAAACAATATAATTTTTTTTTTTTACATATTACAGAAGTCAATATGTATGTTGTGTAAATTATATTTATCCAACAAATCAACTGCAAATGTTTACGCCCATATGTTGCATTCAACATGGTGGTCTTTAGAGACCTGCCTCCAATGATCTAAAGTTTAATTTGAAACATTTTCATTTAACTTTTATAATCTAAGTTTTCTATTCCACATATCTAAAAAAGAGAGATAATGTCGCAAATATTAAACGCTGTTTTAACAATAGACCTTAGTTTAAAAAAAAAAAAATAATAGTTGAGTAACGTTACATGCAGGATTTTCTAGGCAACCAAAGCTTAATTGCCTTGTGTCCTGCGATATTGTAATGTAAGATATTTTAAATAATGTTTGTTACGCCGTTCATTTAGAAAAAAATAAAATGTCGTCGTGGTCGAAGAAAGCTGGGGCCAGACGACCACCACCAAAACACAGTGGAGGAAGGTATGTGAGACATCTGTATAGTGGCTGCTGTGAGCTACTGCATAAATATGTTCAGAATTAATATGACCGATTTCAAGCTAGGCAACTCACTAGATTTAAACCCACAACCTACGTTTTATATTTCTGGTGTTATGTTGGTCATAATCATGTAATTTGCTCCATGCAGTGTCTCGAAACCTCCCAGACCATTTCGAAGAACACCATATCCAATGAGGGAGGACAGAAAAGATGATCATCCAGAATCTGACAGGCACGTTGAATATGACAGAAGAAAAAAAAAAGATATTTTTGTAGTTGACCGTGCAGTACTACTGATCTTTTCCTGGCTTTAAGTCTTTATTTTTCTCATATCTGTTTCTCTCTTCTTCTTTTAAAATCTAAACACCTTTTCCTACCAATCTTCCTTCAATTTTCAGCTTTGAGAGCTTAGAGGAAGGGATTGATTACTCTGGCACTGCAGACTATGAGCATTCACCGCATCAGTCAACTGGTATGATTTTTCATGTAATAAACAACGTGGTTTCTCACTGCTGCTGTTGTGACCATTATGAAAACTTTTTCATGTAAATGTGTTTGTAACAGCTGTTTCACCTGAAGAATATGAGGCAACAGTTCAACGCAATGCCATATACGAGAGGTTCTTCCAGCAGCTGCATGGAGATGGTGCTAGACAGCCTGCAGACTGTGTCGTCTTGTCGGTGAACAACCAGAATGTGTGAGTATACTCTGCAGGTAGCAGTCAAATTCTGTCGCAGTAAATGTTTTTATTGTGTGAAACTTGCTTTCTGTTTTAAACTATTTTCCAGAGTTTGCACTTACTGAAAATATGGGACTTGTTTACCTACATTTTGTGCAATGCTGTTTTAAAAAAAAAAAATTTTTTCTCTGTTGTGTGAATGTGCTTCGTTATTGTTAAATGTTAGGCTGATGGGATTCATCAGGGTTAAGATCTGGAATCCGTATGTATCCAGAATCATCCTTGATGGTTAACAAAAACAAAATTCTGGTGGATATTTTATTATTATAAATCATCCTAAAACTTAAAATGTGCCTTCAAGTAAAAGAACAACAACAACAAACTTCCTGTATTCTAAATGTTCACTACTATTTAACAAAAGTCTGTGGAATGCTCTTATTCTTTACATTTCACTGTCAGTTTAAAAATTTTTTTTTTTTTTATAAATTAATAATTTTAATTCATTTATATTACTATTTTACATTGCGAATCCAAAAGCACTAAACATGATACATCAATCAGTAACTGTTAAAATTAATCTTTGAATGTAACATTTTGGCTAACTCTAGATGTTGTCTCCAAAAGAAGTTTATAAAAAAATAGTGCAAATCTAGAAAAAAAGTCAATATGTATGTTGTGTAAATTATATTTATCCAACAAATCAACTGCAAATGTTTACGCCCATATGTTGCATTCAACATGGTGGTCTTTAGAGACCTGCCTCCAATGATCTAAAGTTTAATTTGAAACATTTTCATTTAACTTTTATAATCTAAGTTTTCTATTCCACATATCTAAAAAAGAGAGATAATAAAAAGACGTGTAAAATGTTACTCTAAATGTTGAATACACATTTTCAAAATTAGTTCGGTCTCAAAGAGTAAAAGAGTGTTTTTTTAATTTATTTGAATTGGGTACATTTTCACTCTCCAACAAAAACGTTCACTGAAAGAATACATATGTCCAGAAATCATCATATTTAAAAAAAACTGAAATCACTTTAATCACATTCCTTGTTTATTTAGCCAAATAGCTTCTTTAAGAAGTGGTGATATTCAAAATGTCCAGTAATCTAAGCCATATTTCTAAACGAAACAAAAACACAATCTATGAAAACATGAAAAACACAAACAATGCTATTATCAAAAAGTGAATGCAACTTTGAAATTGAACGCTTCTAAACATCCTTGACTGGAAACACATACCTCTGTTTTTATTAATACACAATGAATATGACACAAACAAAACAGACTGTCCCATTTTTGCCATCCAATAATAGATCTTGGCTTAAATGTGTTTGATAGAAGTGTTTCACATTTTATTAAGATCCATTTTACAATGTTTTAATTTACAAAGTTTTTGGTAAAACATTAATATATATATATATATTTTATAGTGTCTGTTCACTATTAAAATTGTGTAAAGTTATGCTATTAATATTAAACTGTAACTTTTTGCATCATGTTTAAGCTTAATATTTATCACTTTTTATGTCCTTCAAAGCCTGACGACTCGCACCACAAGCATTTATTTGGCTAAAACAAATTAAACAACTTAATTTTCAACTATTTTCTAATATGTAATACACTTTTAAAATGCTATTTATGTTGGTTTATTGATTTGTGTGGCACATTAAAACGTTACCCTTTCATTGCTGCATATATTAACGGGGCCACACCCAAGACCCTCATCTCCTGCCCTGAAGCATGGTGCTCAATAACCAGATCTCTTCTTCTTCTTTCAAAGGGATTACCCCAAATCGATAGGCCAGTGTTTGCAGGAACGTGGCCTCTCTTTATAGTGTCTGTTCACTATTAAAATGGTGTAAAGTTATGCTATTAATATTAAACTGTAACTTTTTGCATCATGTTTAAGCTTAATATTTATCACTTTTTATGTCCTTCAAAGCCTGACGACTCGCACCACAAGCATTTATTTGGCTAAAACAAATGAAACAACTTAATTTTCAACTATTTTCTAATATGTAATACACTTTTAAAATGCTATTTATGTTGGTTTATTGATTTGTGTGGCACATTAAAACGTTACCCTTTCATTGCTGCATATATTAACGGGGCCACACCCAAGACCCTCATCTCCTGCCCTGAAGCATGGTGCTCAATAACCAGATCTCTTCTTCTTCTTTCAAAGGGATTACCCCAAATCGATAGGCCAGTGTTTGCAGGAACGTGGCCTCTCGGTGGAAATGCTTTACCTGCAGGTGGAATCAGGCCTGACGCGGGCCCTCCAAGATGTCCGCTCCGACGGTTCCCCCTTATGTATTCTCGTCGAGCAGACTAATGTAACACTCTCCTCGTGCACAGTAATCATATTTTCAGAGTCCCTCAAAAGTAAGTTCCGACTCCCACAATCGATCTCCCAATAAAACCAGTTTAAATTTACTTCAAACAACAGTAAAATAACCTTAAACAACCTTGACTTGGTGGTGGGCATTTTTTACACTCTTTGCCTTATAATGAACAACAAAACAATAACCAGTATTCTGTGATTACACTAAAAGACATACATTTATGTATTCTGAAAATGCGCTTTCTAAACATTCAAAAACGTTCAGAACAGTCTAAAAAGAGAATTCATTTATTTATATTAACTGAAAAAAATATCAGTGTTATCTCAACGTAGGACTTTGCAAAGAGAATGACTTTGCTAAATCTTGTGGCAGTAAAAAGCTACGCTGGACTAGACAAAAAACATACAAGCTTTGTTTGTGTAGAAACATACTTTGTCATGAAATGGTAATGAAAAGCTTTTTCTGGAATTTATTTACCAACATTTACAAAAAAAAGGAAAGAAAAAAATCTTTTTTTTATTCTTATTTTTTAGATGTGTAAGCACATCTCAGTTTCACAAGTTTCCCAAATCTCAAAATTGACATACCTCCAAATTAAACCGTATAATAGCTTGTAATTTTGCAACACATTTTTTTCCCCATAAAAATAAGTGAGTGGTCAGAATAAATTAGGTGTACTTTCTTTACAAAAAAATGACATTATTATAATAGATTTGAGTACAAATGTTTTACCAATCTACATATTTAAAAATGTTTGCACCGATACAGCCAAGCAAAAATCTCTGTTGTAGTGCTTGACACAAAATCCAAAAGCAAAAACAAACAAACAAAAAACATCTAAAAGATGGTGGGGTTGACCCTCAGCATAACATTAAAATAGATGAAATGCCCTCAAACAACAGACATGCTTTCATTTACTTATTTTTTTAGTTTTTTAAAATCATTATTTTAATTAATGCCCACCATTTAATTAAAAAAAACATTGTTAATATTAAAATAGTTTAATATAACTACTCAAGCTTTTATTCCTATAAAACGTCACCTTGCTGGTAAGTTTTAATTTTTTTTAAAGCTGGAATACACTTTTTACACATTTTATAACACAAGGCGTCAAATAATAGTTTCAGTTAACACAGAAAAACTGAACACACACTAAATGACTGAGTGTCACACACTACCAGACTTTCACGTCTCAAAAAACAAACAAGCAAAACAAACTTAAGCAAGAAAATAAGTCCTTTTTAAACATGATTAATTGAACTGTTACATTTTCTGAATGTAGTCATTTGCTATTACGCAATGTCATACATCAAAACTGAATTCATAAAAATACATATGAGTTATCTCATGCACAATGCCTTCCTCATATTAAAAACCTTTAAAAGCAATCTTATATTAACTTCTACTCTGCTAAATGTCCCTTCTCCCAACATTCAAGTGTGCTCATGAATGTGTCCTTTGAGTGCATACTGAATTTTAATGTGGTAATTGGGTTAAGCAGTGGTTGCCAGACTGCAGCGTGTTGCTGATGAGGTAGAACTCTTGTGCGCACTGCTTAGACTGCAGCAGCTCACACTGAGCACCATATGCAAGCCCCTTCCCTCCTCTGGCTGACCCTTCCTCTGCCTCTTCACAGTTCATCGAAATATGCCCAAAGAACAGGCCTTGGAGTTTGTGTTGGTGGAGTTCAGGCGCTTGAGCGGTTCGCAGCGGGTGCTGGACCCCACGGAGGCTGCGGCACGGGCGGCTGAGCTGACGGAGGACTATCTGGTGCGCAGCAAGCTGGAGCGGCACACTGTTCCCTCTGCCACCCGCCACCTGCTCTTTCTCCTGGCCGAAGGTTTGCACCTGTACCCAGAGGAGCTCAACACACTGACAGAGTATCTTCAAAACCGCCAAGACCATCTGCAAGGTGAACATGCTTCTGTGTCCTGGCCTAGTTACATTCATATTGTGTTATAAGTGTGTCTTAATTCTCAGCATTATTATACATTTTAATATGTGATATAATTACATATGACCTCAATATGTGATAATTACTTGTGACCTCAAGTTAGATGCATTTATGATTGGTAAAATGCAATCAGTGCACATTGTACATTGATCGATTTACTTTGTTTATTTATTATCAAATCTGTTAATTATACATATTACATATTCAGTTATTTGAATATGTAAACACACACACATGTATATGTATATATATAAAATTACTATACACTAGTCAAAAGTTTTTAAACGGTAAGATTTTGTATGTTTTTTAAAGAATTCTCTTCTGCTCACCAAGCCTGCATTTATTTGATCCAAAATACATTATACATTTTATATTTTAAAATGTAATTAAATTGGCTTGAAAAAGCCAATTTACTGATATTCTATTTAAGCTGCTGCTTCTTCTTAGACTAAAATTTTAAACGCTACTCCTTCTAGAGCTTTCAAGCTAGAACCACCAAACTCAGCTCAGCTCTTCAGACTGTTCTGACTTGGGTTGCTATATCTTTTCAGACTGATCGGATTTACAGTTTTCTTAAAACGGAAGATTAAAAATCATAAAAATCCAATAGATTTACATTGACAGAATGTTCAAATGAGCCAAGACTATTCAAACTCCAGCTGTCAAAAATTTCAATCTAAACACACTGAAGCCCATTAGGCTCAATCAAACTTCTCTTCTATGTACTATTTCTAACCAATTTAAACTAATTTAAGCTTCCACTCTATCTAATATTTCTAATCTATCTAGCTGGTTGGCTAGATGTTTTTGGTTTTAAAGTGGTTTTGGCACCATTTTAGCTGGTCAAGATGGGAGACCTGCTAAAAGACCAACCAAGTTTAAAACCGCTACTATCAGCTTAAACCAGCTAAGACTAGACAACTAGCCTAGGCTGGTTTTAAGTTGGTTTTTGACTGGTTCAGCTGTTTTTAGCTGGCCTTTTGCTAAATCAGCTGGTTTTAGCTGATTTTAACTGGTCTCTAGCTGTTTTTATTGAATCAGATAGTTTTACCTTGTTTTTAGCTGGATTTTTTTCATTTACAATGTTAAATAATGTTAAAAACATACTAGCAGCATGCTAATCATGCTAGAAACATGCTAACAATGTTAGCAACATGCTAGTCATGCTAGAAACATGCTAATAACGAGCTAATCATGCTAGCAACATGATAATCGTGCTAGAAACATGTTAGTAACATGCTAATCATGCTAGAAACATGCTAATAAAATGTTAATTATGTTAAAAACATGCTAGTCAGGCTAGAAACATGCTAGTAACATGCTAATCATGTTAGCCACATTCTAGTCATGCTAGAAACATGTTAATAACTTGCTAATCATGGTAGCAACATGTTAGTAACATGCTAATTGTGCTAACAACATGCTAATCATGCTAAAAATATGTTAGCAACATGTTAGTCATGCTAGAAACACCCTAGCAACCACCCCAGGTACCCTAGTAATTTGCTTTATACCTATGCGTTTTTCTGATAGACTGTAATGCCTGGAAAACATTCCAGCTTTAATCTTTAAAACTATTTAAAATTTTAAACTACTTCAAACTGAAAACCTGCAGACTGCAAGCTTTTAAAACTTTTTAAAACTTTCTGGCTAGGCTTTTTCAAGCCAACTTAAAGTTTGTCTACAAACTTTTCAATCTCGTTTATTCCTATGATTTCAAAGCTGAATTTTTAGCATCATTACTCCAGTCACATGGGCCTTCAGAAATCATTCTAATATTCTGATTTGCTGCTCACAAAACATTTATTACTATTATTATGTTAAAAAAAAATTTATATAATGACTCCAAGCCTTTGAATGGTATATAATGTAACTTACTTTGTATTGATATATAATAAGCATATAGAATTAAAATGTAAGTTATATTTTAAATTATACAGATTTTATAATATATTTCTAAACATTATAACATTATATTTTTACTATCACTCTGTTCCTTTCCTCTCCAGTAACTTCCGCAGAGGTGGGCAGTAATGTTGCTCCTGTAATAAACAGCCTGCCTCCAGGGTTAGGAAAACCCCCACCACTTCTGCCTGCTGGAGCTGGACCACCACCAAGAGAGCAGGCAAACCCACCCTCAGGGTCTGGAGATACACCCCCAGGCCATCACAGGGGGTTGCAAGGTTTTTTTGGGGGGCACAGGATAAAATACAAAAAATATATATACATATGTATAAACTTGGAGTATCAATTTTTTACTTTAAGAAAAAATTATTTAATAATTCATTTTTAACCTGTTTATGATGCTCATTAATAAATTTAAATGCAGTATTCCCTGTGTTTCCAGGCTCATATCCCAAGACGAAACCACCTCCTTTGCTTTCAATGCAAAATCTAAAGCCACCTTCCCACAGATCAGCTGCCCCCCATAGTCTTTTACCCTCTCGGGCCTCTTCAGTCTCACACAGTTCTTCATTTAGTCCCCCATCTAGAGGGCCAGCAGCCCCTCATAGTCTTGACAAGCCACAACCTCTTCTAGGCCTAGCACCTACACATGGGCCATCCTCCACCCGTGCCCCTCTTCTTGACCATGCCCCTCTGCTTGAAACACCTCTTGGTTTCCCGTCGTCTAGAGGACTGTTGCAGCATCCGGGGTCTCATTCATCACGCGGGCCACCATTGATGTGTGGCCCACCGCCGCAGAATGGACCCCAGGGTCCTAGAGCACCACCACCTTCACTCAGGAGCCTTCATATGGGAGCCCCAACAGGTCAGCATCTTCTCATGAAGTTCTTGTTATGATGGCTATTTAGAGAACTATTGGAATGGAAGGATCTGTCACTAATTGATTTATTTATTTTTTTGGTTCTTGTTGAACCTTTTTTTTTTGTCCATGTTCAGGTCCTCGCCCACCACGACGCCTGCTCCCTTGATTCTCTCAGGACACCTGATTAAATCATAGGCCAGTATTGCCACGTGGGACAGTTGTTAACATTCTGGACTTAGGCTTCTGTGTTTTCTTTCAGGATCCTATGAGATGTTTAAAGATGTACTGGTATGGAAAAAAGCCTCAGTTGTGTTCTCTTTATTTCCACAGGTGTAAGCTAATTTTTAGAATAAATGTGAAAATTTTCAGTGGCATAAATCTGTGAGAGATGTCTTTAAAAATCACTGTTCTCCATACAACGATTGAATATATTCCAAATACAGTTTTTGGTGTGAGGCAATAATATGAGACTATTCTGAATTTTGGTAGATTGTTGAAGGTTCTTGATCTCCAGGAGCCAGAGATTTTTATTTTTTATAATAATAATAATAAAAAAAAGATAAATAAAGTGCATAATGTTTTGAAATGCAGTTCACTTATTAAAAATTCCCTCTCTTTTTTAAAGTTTTTTTCCCCTTCTGGCTTCTGTGTTTTCTTTCAGGATCCTATGAGATGTTTAAAGATGTACTGGTATGGAAAAAAGCCTCAGTTGTGTTCTCTTTATTTCCACAGGTGTAAGCTAATTTTTAGAATAAATGTGAAAATTTTCAGTGGCATAAATCTGTGAGAGATGTCTTTAAAAATCACTGTTCTCCATACAACGATTGAATATATTCCAAATACAGTTTTTGGTGTGAGGCAATAATATGAGACTATTCTGAATTTTGGTAGATTGTTGAAGGTTCTTGATCTCCAGGAGCCAGAGATTTTTATTTTTTATAATAATAATAATAAAAAAAAGATAAATAAAGTGCATAATGTTTTGAAATGCAGTTCACTTATTAAAAATTCCCTCTCTTTTTTAAAGTTTTTTTCCCCTTCAGGTTTTCTGTTTTTATTTTTAGAATTTTGGAATTTTTATTTTTTATTTTTAGATTATTCAATTTCTAAAGTGTGAATCCAGCCCCTAAAGTTGAAAACTGTTCTCCCTTCTACACTGAATGCATACCCTTAATAACTTTTCCAGATAGACACCACCCATCAATGTTTTTTTTTTTGACTGAACACAAAATTCTGTGTATAATTCCATGTTTCTGAATGCAAATTTGCTATAAATTCAAATTGGATTGTGCCATCTGACTAACATTTTCATTTCATGTCACAAATTTTTGATTGGATTCAAGTCTTTATTCTTTGGAACGTTGTACCTGAACAAAGGGGTTGCTGTCTTTGGCTGGCTGATACTGGCACCCTTCGTGGATTTTGGCTCCATCTGTGTTGCCCTTGATGGCAACAAGTTTTTTGTTTCTCTTTGCCAGGAAAGAAACACCAGAGCAAGATGCTGCCACCACCATGCTTGACTATAGGGTTGAGGTTTCATAGATCATAAGATTGATTAGTACCAAACATAGATTTAATTTTAAAATGTAAAATTGTTTTTACAATTTACCAGTGAGCTTTTAACCACTGTGACTGGATCGATGAGTTAGTGAGCTGAACTCCAGAACCAGATCAGTAACATTCAGAAACAAATCATTCAGACCAGTTTTGTGAACGGGATCAATTGATTCATTGAAAAGATCTGACTCAAAATAATTAGTCATTCTAAAAACAGACATCACAATTTTTCTTATATGCACCCTATGGCTTCAGAAATCTTCAGAAAACATGGCTTTAGTGCAGAAGTCATATAGACATATAAAAAAATTTTTTTTTTTAATTGCAGAGTTTGAATAGCCAAGATATTATGCAAAAATTAACCTTTTGTGTCCACTGAAGAAAGTGAGGGTGAGTATATAAGAAACAGGTATTAGGTGAATTATTCCTTTGATATTACAGACACAGAAACAGGTGTGTGACTTAAGTACAACATTAAAACAATCTGAGTGTTCCTCAGTATTATAGTGAGGTTGAAAAATTCATCACAATGCTTATGAGTTTCTTCGTATGGGTGATTTAACTAAGGGGACATGTAACTACCTCTGCTTATATGAACTCCTTTTAACATTTGGTGGATGGAAACGAGAGACAATCTACGAGACATAACATGAGAATGGAGTGATTTGGTTTGGAAACATAAGTAACTTTATAAATCTAAACGGTGCCAGAAATGTAGGTAAACTATGGAGGTCCATTTTTGCCACAAGAAGGCAAAAACATTTTTTTTTGACACTTTACATGATGATTACGATTTTTCGTTTAAATTTATAATTATTTATGCCATTATTATTATTACCTCAGAATTCAAATTTACCAAACCATGATTTTTTCCCCCTTATGGAGCGGAAATCGGCTTGCTTAGTCAACATAAACAGACAGAGGAAAAATACGTTTTTATTTTTGTATATAAATATTTCACGTCTTTTAGAAACCCTACAATGCTGAATTACGTCACCGTTGTAAAAAAAAAAAAAGTAAATTCTAGAAATTAGTCAAAACAATGGACTGCATCTTGTCCTCAGTCTCCTTCAAATTGCTAAGATTTCACATAAATGTTTCTTTGGCCTTTGCGTGAGAACAAAACTAGTTGTGGATGAATCTGCACAGTCATGTGTGTATACAGTATACACTGCATGTATATCCTAATGGCAAATACTGTCAGCAAATGTATGTATGTCTTTAGTAGGGCATGTTTTACAGCTGTTTGTCTCTCCACTCTCTGATCACAGACACTCGACCGCAGCTGTGAAGTATCCATCACGTCTCAAAGTAATGGAGGCCCGGTTCTGCTTCATTTCACCAGCTGGGAGGTGTTGATTGGGCCTTTTTTGGGTAAGTGAGCAAAAAACGGCTCCACTAAAGCTGATAAATGCAACAGGAGACGGAAGGATTACCAGTCAAACGGAGTGAAACCAGCTTTCGCTGTTACGGAAGTAAAAAGCATGCCTCATTTGTGTCCCACGACATGTGATTCAGTTACCGTTACAATTCTGCAACCACACAGAATCACTTTTTTCCCCACAGAGACAAACACTTGCCATTCCAGCACAACTGGATATCAATCAAAATGTATCACTATGAATATTCTTGGCATTATTGTGTTAGAATTCACAGATACCCAGGTCGTCTCTAAACGCAATGTGCTTCTTTGTTAGGACAGCACCACACTGAGCTCCTGTATGCTGCTGTGAGTGAGATCTTCATTAGAAACCTTGAGCCCTTCACCAGGATCTGTGCCAGGTACTCGGTCTAACAGCCAAACATGTTGATAATTAAACCCCTGTAATCGAGAGGTGTTATCACAACAATTAACAGCAAAAATGTGAGGGTATGAGCGAGAATCTTAGAACGTGTGGCTTTGTATGCAGTTCCTCCCTTTTTTTAATTTGATGGAAAGGTTTTACCTTCACTCTAATCCTTCGGCTATTTGTTTAAGTGCCGAATTATCTGTGCGTTTTTGTTTTGAGTGTACATTTTGCGCAGTATTCCTCTATCAAACCATCTTGGGAGGGATTTGATGTGGGGGAAAGCGTACGAAAACATAATTTCTCTTCCCGTCTTTTTTCCTAAAAGCACATTTGTCTCTCTCCTACATTCCCTAATTCTCCAGACGTGTTCCAACCGTTCTCTTTTTTCGCCTCTCCCTCCCCAAAGTTGGCTTTCTCTGCCCTCGTTCCTAGGCATCAGCTGAAGACCCAGCAAGGCCCCCATACACAATGAGCTTTAATTGGGTTAAGTTTGTCCGCCACAGATAACATTTCTCTTTCTGTGGAGAATAAAACAAATTGCTGGCACTAATGGCACTGTTTAATGTAGCTCTTTTTATTATGGATGGAGGAAATTAGGAGGAGACTCCCAACAGAGAGCTGATGTCGTGGGAGTGAGTGCATTGTTGCAGCTCATCAGAAAAGCGTTTTTGCTGGAGCGCCGGCCTCCTCGCCGCCGTTGCTCATCTCTCTCTCTCTCTCGCTAAGCCCTTTCATGTGCCCTTTTGAAAAGACGGCCATGTACCTAAGAATTGGAGCGTTAAAGCGTATAGCCTGTGCGATCTGACGTGATCGGGCCCCGCGTTTGCCACCATGTGTTCCGAACCTGTTCTCCGTCCGCTGTTTTTTATGCTTTAATGCCCTAAGTCCATAAAGCCGGTGTTTCTTTGTGTAAGTCTGGGGCAAGAGCCAGGGAAACGGGGGCTGGAGGGGGGCTTGTTATTGAGGTTTTGGCACAAGACACGGTAAGCCTAAAAGCCTGAAATTTGTTCTGCATTGCTTTCGTTTCTGAAGAGGGTCCCCCTTTTTCAAGTCAGACGTCTCACTGCAGCAAGCTAATGGGATGCGAGGACAGATGCACACCCTGGCATTTAACACGCCAACACCTGAGAGTGTTTGGAAGACAATCAGCAGTAAAAATGTAATGTTCAATCTGGATTTTTATGGTAGCTAATCAGGACTGATGAAGTAGAGGGTACATTAAAGTGCAGCCGAGCGGTCAGCCCCAATCTGCGCTCCTGCTCTCCACCTCTCAGTTGTGTGCCCATGTGCACTCGGCATCAGCACGGCTGTCTGCGTCCGGGGTCACTGTAACAAACAAAACGTCCTTATATGGACAATTAGACGGCATATTTTAGCAATCCTATATTTTGCTGATGTACACGTTGAGACAATTAAAAGTTTCTGGCAATGCTTTCCTTACATTTTTTGCTTTCATAATAGATTCTATCAGGTCAGGTCACCGCAGCTCGGTCCTGGAAGTAAAACCCGAATCGAAGGAAGCTAATAAAATGACTAATTTTTTTGGGCTCTGCTTCAGATTCATTAGCTACAAAAGCATTTGTATTTTAAACCTCCTTGTACGGATTGACAGAAGTGACACCGTGAGCGTGCGCCTCTCCTGTACTTTGTTAACGAGACAAAAGAGTGTTGGCTTTGCAGTATTTAAATCAGTTATGTCTAATTATTTCATACAAAAATAGCCTATATAGGGCAAAGCCAATGAGATGTAACATTGTCTGTGGAGGGGGGACCTGGAGGAGTTGGCGTGAGTTCAGCTGAACAGAACAGAACAGAGAGAATACGCTGTAGGCAACATAAATATAACATGAACTCTCCAGGCTTGTGACAGTACAATGGGGGAGTGTTTAAGGGTGCTTTCTGGGTCCACACTGTCCAATGGATGATAGTCGCATAAGAATAGCAGCATACCTAGGTACGGTGAGAGAGGAGACGGATGAGAGAAAGGACAAAACGCTGTTGAGCTATTGCTAAATTTTGAATAATCGTCGCATGAATAATGTAAGGGCATCAATCTACCACTGTCCCTGCTGCGTGAAGGAAAATACTAGCCAATACTGAGGCCATTTCAATTCAGTTAGCAGTGAAATTAAGTGTTACAAATGCCTCCGTCCTTATAATGTCCAATGAGAGATTTGCTTCCTCTTCTAAACAT